GATTTTCACAATGCAGCCCTTAGCACTTGTGTCTTATTGTATAGGCGCACACAAAACCCCTCGCCCAATCTGCTGCCTCAAAACCCATGGCTAGGGTGTCTCATGCAATGCGGCTATGTATGTATATATATATATATATATGTATTTATTTATATACATATGCATGAACGGTGCCACGTTGCCCTGGCGCCGCAGGTTTTCCTGATGAGGCGGTTATACTATACATCAGATCTTATCTTTAAATATGTTATAAGGGGCATCAGCGGCACGGCATTCCCAGCATGGCGATCTTTACCCGCAAGACCCGAACAAGTAGATGGCATACAGACTCCCAGCCTCGCAAATCCCCTATGTCCATATGCCTCCCACTCTGCCAACCATATATGCCAGGGACTTGTTACTCCCTATAAGCCCTGAACCGCAAATCAGAATCTTCAAGTCGCACGCTGATTTCTGACAACCTTGAGCCCTCCATCGTCTGCAGGCCCTATAATCGCAACTCTGAAGCTGACAGTTCACCCTCAAACTTGGAGGGTTTCATTATAGGTTTTGGCGTTTAGGAACCTCACTAGCCAAAGGTTGTCGGTCTGGTACAGGGTCCGCAACTCTCTACTTCAATATTGTCTAGTGCCATTTTGCGGGGAAGTCTTTCGGTGAGTTCCAGTGGTGCGACATGCTAACATCTTCAGAATTTATGAATGGTTTCAGCCAGCAGTAATATCTCGTGGAAAACAACATCAAGACACTAGCCTTATTGCTCTTAAATACTTCCCACCTCACCAGTTTAATGCTTCCCTTCCTTCTTTGCTTTCATTCAGGACTCTGCCCTCGCGAAGGACTATGATGAAGCGCAGCTGGGCTCGGCCGTGCAGAGGCTGAGAGACATCCTGCTTTCAGAAAACATGCACATTCTCAGCAGCCCATAGTTTCAATAAGCTGAGAACTTGTGAGCATTTATGCAAGCCCTGCCCCCCGCTGCCCAATGCCGAGTCTCTGTCTGTGCTGTTGCGGTGCCTCTCCGACGGGAAGCTCATCATGCCAACAGCGACAGATCACCAATTCACCAAGGCTGATGGCAATCCCCAGGACTGTTGTTGAATCCCTGGGGCGGGGCGAGTGCACGTGACTAGCGTGGGGCACGGGCACGATGAAGCCAGTCGGGGACTGGCGAGCTGATGGGGTGGATCAGTGGCAGAAGTTATTTACATGAGATGTTTATGTTGGAATGTGGGTATAGAAGTGGTTACATGCACAGTGTGCATGCATTTACACATGTGATCATATGGGTCTACATACACATGGTCGGCATACTTGATACACGCTGTAGCATGCACATGTCGGCAAGCTCGAAGCACGACCAGGCTCTGTTTCGTCCTCCCCTCTTCCATCAAGGACAAGAAGCCGCCAAGAGTCAGGGATTTCGCATACTGGCAGAGACGTGAGTAAATTATGTGAATAGTATTGTGGAATATTGTGAGGATGTTCGAGTCGGGCTGGCTCTGTGCTCCCGAATTGGATCCCTTTGCTGCTCCGATTTGGCTTACCTTCGTGCTGGCAGCTCCAGTCACTAGTCAAGTCGATTTCGGTCGGTTCGATGTGACCGTCGCATTGCATATGCGTGGCTCGCAAAACACGCGCTAGCCAAGAGGTTCTCGAAGCGATGACACACCTGGCAGTCTTAAGAGTACTTGCTACGTAGAAATGCTGGTTGGAATATGCAATAAAGTGGTCTTGGTTGTGAGATTTGCAATGGCGAAAACTCCGTGCTTCGACTGCTCTGTCACCCAAGCAAGCAAGCAATGCAAGAGTTTCGTCAAAGACTTGGCCAGCCTCGAACTTGTCACCCACACCGTCATGAGCATACCCACCACAGCCACCACCACAACCGCCACCACGACCAGAATAGAAATAGCAATGCAACAATAGTGACAATACGTCTAATAATCATGGTAAGGATGTTGTTACCAATACTAATAACGGTAACGCCTCATCAACTGCTCAGCACCCCTCCACCCAGCCGTGCATTCAATGATGAATGCCACCACCAACCGCAGCATAATCGTCACCACCAAAATCAGCGACATCCTCGCCATCATGAGCCGAGCAGCATGACCACCATCATCGGAAACAGCATGACACATCGCTACACAATCACGACTACAACCACAACACCAGCACCAAAACTAGTGACAACCCGAGTCACTTCCAGCACCGTTGCCACCATGATGGTACCACCGGCGGCACCGGCACCAGCAGCCTTAGCACAAGCACCACTTTCACGAGCACCAACCTCTTCCTTCTGACCCGACCACGACCACCGGCCTCCTCACAGCGGTCGTTGCATGCTTGGCGACAGCGACAAGAATGATGTTGCTAGCAATATAAACCAACTGAAATAGGAGCAATTAAGCATGACTCAGTTTCAGCTTGCTAATATAGCACCCTAAATAGTAGGATTCTTATTATAAGGACCCCAAAATAAAGTACTGTCCGCTTGGCAAGACCAGGCCCGCTCTCAACTGATCGGCCCCTCCACCAAAGCTTGTCGCACGGCACAGCCCAAAGCCCACTGCAGCCGCCTTAATAATTAGAACAGGGTTTTGGGGCCCATTATACTATAGTTAGAATAAGGAACCCCAGCCACATTGGAGGACCTGTGCAGAGGATTGCAGCCGCTCCTCCGCACTGTGGCTGATGGTCTGCAGGCGTGCTATTATTGTTCTGACTAAGTCGCAATGCAGCACAGTCTTCTAAACCATAGCAGCAGCTACCATGACTAGAACAGACTTGAGTCTTAGCCGGATTTCATGTGGCAACTGTCCTGCTGCAAGTTCCCCAGATGGCAGTTTGCAAACATCGTCGTGTTTCTCTGCGTGTGCGAGAGTAGCCATCCAAATTCCAAGTTCTCTGCCTGCTTCTTTAGCCCTGTCCATGTCTCTGTATACTATGCTTCGATATACTGCGCATAACGTATTCTTCCGCGCCATGCCATACTTTGATGCACGATACTAGTACTCTAAATCAAAGCCTGGTAGTTGCGAGATCTGTCGGGCCAGAATCGAGGCTCCCGGGTGCGGGCTCCCGGGTGCGGGCCTTTTGCAGGTCCAGGATTTCTGCGGGTGAAAAACGCGGCGACTTCAGGTTCTTTGTGACAAGTATGTCACATTATGTTATAGTAGAATAGATTCTGATAGTCTATAGTCTACTCAAGTATAGTGTATCATTGTAGTAGAGTATCGTATTTTGGTATAGTTTAGTAGTTTCTATTATATAAGGCTGCGCTAGTATAGTGTTTTCTACTATTACTCTCTAATAGTAGCGCATATTAAGTTAGTGTAGCATCGTAACATATAGTATAGTACAGTTCAGTGTTGTAAAGTGTAATGTAGTGTAGTACAGTGTAGCATATGTTGCTGTATGGTATTTTAGAGTGAGGAAGCAAAGACAGTATAACACAGTGGAGTCTAGTCTGGTCTGTTCTAGTCTAGTCCAATATGGTATAGTATGTTTTTTGTATAGTACTTTCTATTTTCTAGTGCAGTATGTGGTTGCTTTTTGTTTCTACTGTTATTGTTTCTAGCAGTAGTGTTATTGCTGCTGCTACTACTACTACTACTACTACTACTACTACTACTACTGCTAGTACTACTACTACTACTACTACTACTACTACTACTACTACTATTACTACTACTACTACTACTAAAAACTATTCTTAGATTTTTCATTATCATCACTATTGATTGGCTTCTACACAGTATAGCTTGTTCGGCTGCATAGTATATAAAAATCCGCCACCAGCGATGATCTTGGCCAGCTACTAATGTTCCAAAAACAGCGCCTCATGCTTGCACAGCTTGTCCGGTCAGTTTGTTTGTCTGGCAGATGGTGCACGACATCTTCGAGTGGGAGCACAGCGCAAGTCCAGCAGTCGCCATCGTCTTGCCTCTCGGTTCCAGGAGGTAATAAGAATACTACAACGTCGGGTGCTTGGTATGAGATCATGTCGGCTAGGCACTAGTCACACACATACTTACTACCAACAGATTCTCGTAATCGCCATCAGGAAGAACCGGAAATGTTGGATTTATCTTGTGGTACCAAGAGGGAGATAAACATGAAAAGAGTATCCAGATAGTTTTATACAGCGAGGATCCTAGTTTAAAAGGCTGCTTTGCTCTGGGTAGCCCTCCACGCCCACCAAGACCGGCTGTCTGTCTTGATCTGCCCACTTCTGCGCCACATCTGTCTCAACACCGAACAGTCGGAAGACTTCAGCTTGTATCCTTCTTCAGGAACCTCTAGAACCCTGGTAGAACCCCAAGCGGCACCCTTGCGAAGCCCATATGTCCATGCATGTAACTGCCCTTCCTGGCCCAGGATCCTGTGCACAGTGGTTAGTGAGGCAGGGTCGCGGGTTTGATCTGCCCAAAAGTGAACACTATGCACTTGCGTGGCTTTCTGACTGGATGTCTCCTGAACCGCCGTTATATGCCCTTTCGAAGCGAGCTTTGTGCGCTGTGCTCACCTGCGATAGATGTTGTTGCTGTACAATGAGAGGTGCTTCGCTTCGACATCTTGCTGATGCTGCCTCTCGGTGCACTTTTGGAGATAGGCCATTTCGGATCGCACAGGCCATCTTTTCATCGCAGTTCCATTGAGGTGTGGTGCGCACTAGTACCAATGCGGTATAGCTTACCTTCCATCGGTGTGCTAGACTTATCATAAAATGCTGTTGGATTTCTAGTCCACCGCGGCCCCTACTGGACTGATTTCGCTACAGCAACAACAATCGCTTCACGGCGAGGAGGGCGGGTACTGCTGGTACTGAGGAGCAAGACGACGAAGAAACGAAGCGCACAATTTCACGTGCTACTGAGCGGCGACGACAGCAAGGACGATGACCGTGACGATGAACAATATCTACCACCTGCCGACTGCAAACTGCATGCGACATACGACATACAGTGCTTCTGCTTCTGCTCCTAACTACCCTTCTGTAGTGTGTAAGCCCGTACCATGCGAGATCCAGAGTTTCTGCAACCCCGGTCGGCCCGGATATAGCACCCAAAGCAACTAAAGTCCACTTCAGACATTCACGAGAGTCGATGCCTTGCTTCCTTGCGCCTTTGTCTTTATGCCGTCGGCTTCTTCAGTGTTCAGTGTAACGACTCTATACATGGAGCCATGAAATCCTGAAGTCCCAAAAGCTGAACCACCAAAAGCCAAAGGATCGGCTCTGCCGTACTGCTCGTTTGCTCGCCATTGGTGCCTGCCGTGCCGGAAGCTGAGCTCCTGTCAGTTGACGTGCACTGCCGTTCAAAATTGGGATATGGCCGGGATATGATGTTCATATCTTTGAGCAACCACTCCCACGTGAACTTACAGTGAGCATTGGTTCTTCAAGAGGTACTGGAGAGCCAACTTGCAGTGTCAAATCTTGCCCGGTTGGGGCGTGTCCGTGAGAAGTAGGGCTTTTGAAGCCGCTTCTGCTTCGTTCACAGCACCTGCCTCTTGGCGGCTTTACCCATAGGCCCATAGTAGTTCCTCTTTGGGATTCCCTAATAGGATCCTAGATAAAAGCCACAAAAAGGAACCACTATGTGGTTTATGGTACAGCAGTAGGTTCAGGTGGCAGCTTGTGAGTATAGAGACACATGGGTGGTTGTCAAAACTATGGTCCCTCTGTGGGTCCTTATTATAATACGGCACCTATTATTTAGGGTACCCCAAAAGGGACCATAATTTTGACAACTACCTACATAGTTGTCTCGGAAGTCCTTGCTCGTCTTTCTGCCACGGCCAGCCACTCCTCAGCAGACTGCAGCTGGTAATGCCACTCACGGTTCGGGTTTAGGGTTTAGGGTTTAGGGATTGCAAGATATTGAGAAGGTTGTAGGGTTAAGGGCTTCTGGTTCGTATTGCCCCGCCAACCTGGCTCGCTTGGGACGTGGTGTTCTCCCCTTCTGCGGAGGACTCACCCTTAGGATTTTTAGGGCTTTAGGGTTGGGGTCTGGACGTTTTGGGGTTCAGGGTCGCAGCCTTAATCAAACATGTACAGGGTTTTAAAGCCTTCAGCAGTCTGAGGGGGGTTTGGCTGTTCTACACCGTAATAAAGCGATCATTACCCTCACTTTGTCCCCATAGCTCCTAGGTCGGCCCAACCCTAACCCTCCAGTTACCTACTATATAGGGCACTAGGGGCTCTAGTACCCTATATAGTAGGTACCTGGGGGCTTAGGGCAAGATGCTGCGCAGGTCAGGTACCATTGGTTTCCTCAGCCGTCGCACTGCGCAGGGGCGACCGAAGGCCCTTGAGCCCAAGAAGCCCCGAGTTTTAACTGGGTTTAGGGTTTTAGGGTTTTAGGGTTTAGGGTTTTAGGGTTTAGGGTTTAGGGTTTAGGGTTTAGGCATCCCCGATCCTGAAAGGTTGTTCTGAAGAGGTGACTCTTGAACGGGAGGCTTTCGGTGCTGGTTCGGGGAATCTAGAAGCTACTCGATGCCATCAGCTTGAGGCTGCAATCTGCCTGCTGCCCTTCTCCTCAATCCCGTTGTGCTTCGGAGGCTTGAATCGTTAAGTATCGCGGTCGCCTTCCCTCTTATTGGAGACGCTATTTGTGTCTCTTCTTTGTTGTCATGTCTAGTATGAAGAAGAACGCGACGCTAATCCGACCAAGAAGGTGAAGGAGACTAAGCTCATGATTCACGGCCAGCGCTACTACTAGTACTACTACTAGTACTAGTACTAGTACTAGTACTAGTACTAGTACTAGTAGTAGTAGTAGTAGTAGTAGTAGTAGTACTACTACTACTACTCCTGCTACTACTACTGCTACTACTACTACTACTACTACTACTACTCTGCTGCTACTGCTACTGCTACTGCTACTGCTACTGCTACTGCTACTGCTACTGCTACTGCTACTGC